AATTTACTTTTCCAACTAGCAAATAATTATTTTCACACATTGGGATGTCAAAAGTCTTTTTTTTTTCCCCAGATTTATTTTATTTATTTATACATACAAGAGTTAGGGTGTAGGCCAGAGGTTCAGGGATTCACCAAGACAGAGTGGGGAGCAGAACAGGCAGATCTACTGAAGTACACTGCTGAGGGGAGCAGGGGGCAAAACAGGAGAGGTCTGTCAAGTCAGCTATGGGTGGCTCACCTGCCTGGCCAGGAATCGAACTCATGCTTCAGTGGCTGAAGACAGCTTGATAATGTTGAGACTTTAACCCCTGTGCCATCAGAGAAGCCCCAAGATGTCAAAACTTTTTATTAAAGTTTTCCAAGTACTTCTGAGTATGCAGGCAAAAGCATAGTGAGGAATTTATAAAAAGACAAACGTATTGCTTGAGAGCACTCAAAGAAGTAAAGGTCATAGCATGTTAGTTGGGGTTATTTTTTGCTTGCTCTCTCAAATTTTACTGCTTCTGCATGCATTTTTTTTTTCAAGGAAAAACAACGTTCTGCATGAGACAAAATGTTAATCTACTCTTTGAATGATCTGGTCTTTAATCTTACCTGGCAACCAAGGATCAAGATCTTTCTAAGACTCTGATCAGTAAGGAATAGTTTCTGTTAGGTTAATAAGACAAGTAGAGAAATTAATCTGGAAGAAAAATGGAAATGCAGAAATTCCTTGAGAAAAACTGAACAGTGTCTGGACTTAGATGATGCTGTTTATTCATTCCCAACAATTTTAAAAATTACTCCAAATTATCTATGATACAAAACTTAATAAGAATTAAATCATAACAAATTTCAGTTTTTATCTTTTAAACTTGAGTTTACATCAGAATTCAACCTCATACATTAACACTGTTTTCATCCTTTCATGTAATTTTTTTCTACATACAGGCTTTTTTATTGGCTGAAAAATAACTGAATATGGCTATAAGCTTACCAGTTTGGTATTCTATAATTTTTTTTCTTTTAACCAGTGAAAATTGTAGCTCTGTTAAATATAGGGATGTTGAGTGTATTGTTGAATGTCCTGCATCTTTGCAGCCCCCCAAGCCTTTACTGACATTACTTCATCTACTTGAGACACCTTTCCTTTCCTTCCCTCCATTCCTGAAACGCTAAATTCTATCCACTGTTCAAGTTCAGCTCAAATGCTCACCTCCCCATACCCTGAATGAGCATTCTATTTCTAACATACAATTTTACTGACACAGAAAGGATGTGTATGTCTTTCCTAGTACACAGTAAGACCCTCCAGTACAAAAAGCCATCTCCTGTAATAGCTGTAGACCCCAGATAGTTTGAAAGGAACACAATCGCATTTCAAAGTATTCTTTAAATAGGATGGTATAAAGCAGCCTAGTCAATCAGCAGGGCTGTTAAAAGACATTCTTTTCATAACCCAACTCAACCAACTTGACTGCAAACTCTTTTGGGGCCAGAGACTCTCCTATTTCTCTTGTATGCCCCCTACCACCCTCCTAGCTTTAATATCACCTAATTCTTTCTGCTCCATACTTTCTTACAAAGCTGTACTACAGGCAGATGAAGAAACTGTGATTGAAACAAAGATCAGATGATGACAAATAGAGATTTATGAAATGATAAAAACTATCAATACTTAAAGAATAATCTCGAAGTCCACAGAACAAATGGCAAAGATACAGATGTCAAAGGATATGGCAAGGATGCAGAGGAACTTTCCTGCGAAGGGTTCAGCATGAATAAAAAGAAATGGAAGCAAGAGTGTTCTCTCGGTTTAGTTTATGCCCCCAGAGGAAGACAGTAAACAAAATATGTTTTGTTGTTGTTGTTATATTTCATTAACAATGGTGATCAGTCCGTGTGACATCCAACACCAGGCACACACCTTCCTGTACCTCCAATTAATTAGGTAACACAGGCCATGGATGATATGGACAATTCCCCAGGAAGGCATAATAAAGTGAAAAGGGTCAGGACCTAACCTCTCCTCCACTATCCCCTGTTAGGGGAAGTAAAACAAGAGTGTGACAAATATCTAAGTTGTGAAGAAGTGAGAGTTTGGAAAGTGCCCCAGATTAAAATGACCTTCTCGCCACTCTCGGCAGTACCAGACACCCCTCCGGTAGAAAGGCACGACGGGAATCTAGTATAGAACTCACCTCTCTTTTCGGTCCTATGGTTAGACCTCCGGAGCTACGCAGCCCGTGGCAGTTCGACAAACCCACGCGCGCGGGCTCCAGTCTCACAGCCCGGGAGAAGTCACAGTACCGGCGGTGGCGGTGGCGGTGGCGGCGGCGGCGGCGGCGGCGGCAGTGGCGGTGGCGGCGGCGGCGGCGGCGACTCCTCCCTCTTCAGCTTCCCTTCCTCCACCCCCCCGCCGCCGTCCCACGGCCTGACCCCGCCCTCTTTCACTCCCCCCACTTCCGGGCGGTGCCCCGGCCGGAAGTAAGAGCCTGCGAGGCCGAGAGGGACGCGTCACACTGAGGAACGCGAAGGCTTGAATGTAGCTCTCGCGCCCCCTGCTGCCCCCAGGCTGACGCGCAGCCTCGGGCGGAAGTCTTCGTTTTTGGAGCTGCTGAGAGCCCCCTCCTTTCTCTTACTGAAAACAAAACAAAACCCCACTAAAGCCTCTGTTATTGGTAGTTTCCTAACCTCGAGACCAGAGGTAGCATAGAGCTCTTTGTAAATCATCTTCTAATTACTGTGTTTCTAATTAGATTATGTAGCGTAAATCCAAATTGTAAATGCCAAAACTATGAACTTGCCATTAAACCTCCATGGAAAAATGATCTCTTAACAAATTTTTTTAAAGATGTATTTATGCATACAGAACTGGGGTATGGGCCAGAGGTGCGGGGGGTGGTGAGAGGATTCACCAGGGACAGAATGGGGAGAACAGGCAGACTGACCAAAATATACTGCTTAGGAAAGCAGCTGGCAGGTCAGGTCTGCCATGCCATGTGGGTCACCTCCCTCACCAGGGAACCAACTCATGCTTCAGTGGCTGCGATAGGTCCATGGTGCTGTGCTTTAACCCACTGCACCTCCAGGGAGGGCCCAATCTCTAATTCATAAATGACTGTTTCTAATTCATGTTTTTGAATTCATAATCTTTGTTTTGGAGAGGGCCAGGGATCTCACTCTCACACTAGATTCACATTGTCACTCCAAGTTCTGAACTGCTCCCTCATTTATTCATTGTTGCATCATCTTAGAAACCTAGATTTCAAGTATGCAAAGAAAATATTGAGTATCACCCTGAGTTTAGGTAGAAACAAGATGCTTAAAACGTAGCGATACATTGCAATAAATAAGTGGTATAGAAAATCATGTGGAAAAAATGTATCTTTATTCATTTACCAACCTGACATACTAAAAAGCAATAAAAATAAGACCTTTTACAACTGAACATTAATATCAAGAGGGAGAATCTCTATCTCACTAATTTCCAAGCAAGATGTAGACTCCCCAAGATGTATTTATTTATTTTTGTGTCAAAGAACCAGGATGTAGATCAGAGATGCATAGGGTGAGGAGACTCACCAGAGTGAAGTCCAGAACAGAGATTTACTGAAATACACTGCCAAGGGGAGCAGATGAGACAGGAAAGGTCTGCCATGCCATTTATGGGTCAGATCCCAGGCCAGGGATTAAACTTGGGCCTTACAGTAACTAGGCTACCAGGAAAGTCCATGAGAACAATCTTCTGCAATCACGTAAGAAAAGTTTTTCATGTTTGGTTAACAGCATGTCCTTACTTATATCAGGTAAACTTGGAGATTCTTGAAAGTCCAGTACCTGGTATCACTTAGGGAAACTTAGGTTACTCAACTAAAATTCCATTTTCTGCTTATTCGAATATGAGCAACGAACTATACAGGACTTTCTTTGGTAATGATGTAGGAATAATGCCAGTGGTATAGATGAATTTCCTTTCGCTAACATCTTACACATAAAATCCCATGACAGGGACTCCCTGGTGGCACAAGGGGCTAAAGCACAGCACTGGTGCTATGGGCAGCCACTACAGCACAAATTCAATCCCTGGCCAGGGAGCTAACCCACATGGCACAGCAGACCTCTCCTGTCTTGCCCGCTGCTCCCCGCAGCAGTGTATTTCAATCTGCCTGTTATGATCCCCATTGTCAATGGTGACTCCTCTCACTCCCTACACCTCTGTACCACAGTCCTTGTATGCATAAATGAATACATCTTTTTTTAAAAAAAAATCCAACAACATACTGAATCCAGGAGAGTACACAAATTCAAAATTTGATATAATTATAGAAAGCTAACAGAAGAGGTCATTGCGAAGTTAGATATAGGTTTATTCCACTAGCTGAAAGTAGAAAATGGCTATTTTGTTAAGATTTAGTAGGTTACTGATTCTGGGAACACTAAAAGTTTTTCCATATAAATTAATGTTAAGTGCTCCCAGGCCCCAAAAATTTCTTCAGAGAGCAGGGGAAAATCTGTCAGTGAAAATAAACTATAGTCAGCAGACTTTTTCATTAATAACAATGTAAGCATCCCAAATAAATATGCTGAAAAACCAAAAACTCTATTTAAGATAAATGTGCCAAGGTAGTTGAGGAGTCTTGCTATTCTTCAGATATTCTAGTTCATTTGATAGAACTGCTCTTCCCTTGGGTCTTGTGACAGCTTAACTTCTCTTGGCAGGAGTTCAAAGGGCTTAGGAATGGGGATTCCAAACATGAACATAAATGAAAGGTAGAGGGTATAATAATAAGCAAGATCTAGTCATCTAATTATCTGCTCAGATAACCTAAAATAATGGTGATCGGGTATTCATAAGCTAAAATTTTAGGTTTTACTTTCCAGTGGTAGGCAAATTTTTCTTTCAGACTGCATCATAAAGAAAGGCCATTTAGGAAGATGTATAATTTTGACTGTAATATTAAAAGAAAAGTGATCAAGATTGGTTTCATTTGCAAAAGAAAAAAAACAAACCTACAATGAAAGTTTCAAATGTACTTTATTTTCTCAGTAATGCCATATTTTAATGGATACAGTATTTTTACTTGGCATCAATTCTAAGTTGATTTTGAAACAATTCAGAATCACACAGCAGGGATGATTACTGATCTCTCCATTCCTTTGGGGTGACTCTGCCAACAGGGGACAGGTTCCATTCTACTCCAATTTGTGTTGCTGTCTGTAAGAATTAAAATGCTGTCAGTTAAGTATGTTTAAACCAGAATCCATTCTCCCTTGGAGTATACTTCTTAAAAGTGACAAAGGTATTCTGCTCTCTGTGTTAAAAACACAGAAATTAACCTGGGATATAGCCCTCCATCTAGCCCAAACCTAATTACAGTCTCAATTCTCTATAGCAGTGCTGAGCTAAAGAAAATGCTCTGTATTTGCAGTTTTCAATACAGTAGCTACTAGTCACTTATGGCTACTGAGCATTTGAAAATTGAAATGTGGCAGTGAGACTGAGGAAATGAATTTTTATTTACATTTAACACTTCTTTATTACCTCCTCAAAATGATGCTTTTGTTCAGCCACGACTACCTAAATACTGCCAATGACCCCTTTCATGATATCTGTGCCTGATTAAGGAACATTTCATTCACCTCCAAATGTGTCCTGATCAAACATTAGTTCAACAACTGTTTAATCTTCTAATAAGTGTACATACTTATTTTAATGATATAGCTGACTTCAAAAAGGTCAAAACAAAAATTTAAAAAGGCCTATAATAAAGTATGCTTGTTTTAAGCAAGGGTTGATTCATATATTTTACAATCAATGTATACATCAGTAATAACTCCAAATTCCTACTTTCAACCATCAAGTTCACTGAATGGTAATTGTTAAATATAAAATATAAAAACTGAAAGCAAGTCACTATACACTTCATCCATCAGAAATGTCCTTCCTAACTAGAAAACTATAATATGTGAAAACATTTTGACTACATGGGCTAAGTATGTGAGAATGAAAAACACTTAAAATCGAAAATATCAATTAATAGTACTTACATATGCCCACACAGCAACACAAAAAGCAGTTCCGCTAGCTAATACTGCATTACCATATTTGTCATGGAAATCAGGTGTCCGTTTCTGGTGGCTCTGTCTTGCCATCATTTGCTGAATGTTTCGAACTTAAAAAAAAAAAAATGAATACAGAAGCATATCTATTATCAGGAAAAGAAAACATATGTAATTAATATTGCCAATAAGGAAAGTGAAGGAAGTCAACTTTATGGTATTATGCAATTTGATAAAAATTTAAATACAGTGTAGCTAAAAGCAAAGTATAATCAGCACATTCACTACAAATTGATATTCATGTACCCTCTAGAACTACTTTGATACTTGAGTTAAATTTTCACTTAATTTACTCAGTGCTCAACAACTTACATCATAAAAAGTTAAAATTAACTCAAAATGAACTTCAAGCTATAGAAAATGTTTAGACCTCAAAATTACCAAAATAAGAAACTCCAAAAACTAGAATAAAACGTGCTATTTTTCTTTCAAATTACTAATACACTAGTAATTTAATTAGTAATTTTTACAAATTATTAATGAATATATTAGTAAAATATGATGTGTATTTTTTTTCAAATGACTAAATGAATACACTACCATGTACTGAAAGAAATGAGGTTTAGGAAAATGTGTAAGACAGACTGTCCTCAGGTAAAGTCCAGTCTAGAAAAAAAATTAGACATGTAAACACATAAACCACTATAATACAAGGAAGCAGAACCTCAGCTGACCAGTCTGAATAGCAGGTGGGATTTGTTTATAAAGGTGTGAGAAAGAAGAATCTGAAAAATGCAGTGACAGACAAGCCCAATGTACTAGAAACTCATTTATAGCTGAAGGATAGGTATATAAGGTATATAGATAAGTAATGGAATAAAACTGGGAAGGATGATGAAGGCTCACATTTTTTGGTGGGCAGGGGATGCTGGTAAGTTATGTTTAAACTTGCTTTTACTATTATTTTAGTAGAAAGAATAGAATAACTGTTTCAAACTGCCTCTGAAGGCACACAAGAGGACCTGGAAAGGTGCCTATAGCTAAGAGGAGCATATTTTCAGCTGTTTTTTGTCCTTCTCTTCTTAAGCAGAAGATCTTCATTGTTTTAGAATCTCAAAACGTAATAAGCATGTAATGGAAAGTATTTTAATAAAACTACAATACTGCCCACTCACTAGCATTTAAGTACTGGCTTATGTGACACAATGGATTATTTCAAGATAGATATGTGACCAGTAATGGTTCTTCAGGGATTTTCAGTTTTTGTCTTCACTTTTAGTCACACTCGAGACAAGCAAATTTACAAACATTTTACAACATAACTATATTCTACAGAAGTTAAAATGTGTATAATTTCCATATTAAAATTAAAAAATCAAAAGCTCCCTTTTCTGTGGTACAAGGCCCTCAGAAATTCAGATTAACAAATACTACACACACAACCTCAAAAAGCAGGTCACCCAGGTAGATTTCATTAGACCTTGCCATTGTGGCAAGAAATAGTTTAGTTACTATTGTAATCTTGTCAGTATTATATACTAAGCCCTTATTTTACAAAGAAGGAAAATGAGGTTCAAAAGGTTAAATTATTTGCCCAAGTCAGAAAGATAACAGAAATTACTTTAGGAATATAAAAAAGCAGCTAGGCGCCTAATTTTTGGTTACTGTCAAAGCTGCTTGCATATTTAGAACAATCCAGTAATACCTCCAATGACTCTGTAAAATGAAAAGAAAAAGATGACTAAACAACTTCAATGATAACTGCTTAAGGTCACTTTCATTTCAAAACTGTTCACATTACAAGGTCACCTTCAGTGCAAATCAAGTACGAAAATTTCCTCTCCAATCTCATGCATTCTCAATAGATAGCACCGATCTTATAATTATCCTGTATCTACCTAACCTTTAGATATGCAAAGACTGTTGACAATTGTTTTTGGTGCAGCTAACATTCAGTTAGTTAATAACCCCAAGTAACAAAAGCTACAATGAAATCAGTTGAAGAGCTATAGTTAGTTTCTTTCCTTTGCGGTTACAGGAATTGGAGAGGTGGTTCTATTTGGCATAAATGTATTCCCGAAGCTAAAATGTAGGTAATTCAGTAACCAGGTGTCTACCAAGCTTGTCCTTCCCTGAAATCGTAGGTTACTGAATTAAAAAGAAAAAAAAAAATAAAAACAGGGCTAATTCATAACCTGGCAACAGAAATAGAACTAGAAACCTTAACAGAAACTGCGTGGTGGAGCTAACGCTAGCTCTTAGAATTACAAGGTCGGGGTGCAAGTAGAGGGAAAAAAAGACACGAGATATCACAAGAGCAAATGGCTATATGGTGACTGGAAATGACCTGCTCACAATTTTAGCTCACCTTGGAGACGATTTAGTGCGTTTTTGGCCAAGGGAAACATCTTGCAGTTGAAAACAGAACTGCGGCAACTGCACCGGCTGGTTTCGTGCAACTCCGCGTCTAATATCCTTGCAAAGAACCCTGAAAAACAAAATGGCTCCCGACAGGGCTCGCTCATGAGATTTGACGAAATCCCGCGAGATCTGTAAAAACCTATAGAAATTATAATCCTCATTACAGCAAAGAAAACTAAAGGCCTATGGGAAACGTAGTTTCAGGCTTTGTGAACGCCATGTGGTAGGAAAAATGTGTAAAGAAAATGACACGTGATGGTATTTACTCAAGAATGAGAGACGCATGCCTCACTCCCCCAGCGGCTCACATCCTGACCTTGAAACCTGTTTAAGGCTCCACAGAAGAGAAATGAGAAATGAGATCTTAGGTCGAATTGGGAAAGGCACTATTTCAAGGAAGTGTTTCAGAGTCTTGTGCGTGTATCTTGCTCCTTACAGACAGTTCTTTCTGTTTCCCCAAGCTTCTTTCACTTCTTTAACTTTCCTATCTCTGTAACTACATGCTAGTTTGTTCAACGCTTAACTTTTAAATTATTACATACTTAGAGAACAATTACAAGAATAAGATGAATTCTGTGTGGCTAAATATATGCAAAAGAAAAATCGTTAATTGTAAGATCTTGATGGCAGATGTTGATAGTATAATTGTTTCATTTTTGTAAGTATTTGCATATTTTCATAATAAAATGTTGGTAGTGGGGTAGAAGAACAGTTATATGCACATTATCAAGGTACATCACTTGGTAATATTTTGACATGTGTATTTCCTTTTTTAAAAGATTTATTTTATTTATTTATTGCATATAAGTACTGGAATGTAGCCAGAAGAAGGGGTGGGGGGCGTCAGTGAGAGGATACATCAGAGCAGGATGAGGAGCAGAACAGTCAGATGTACTGAAATCCACTGCTGAGGTGAGCAGCAGGCATGTCAGAAGAGGCCTGCCACACCATGTGGGTCACCTCCCAGAAAAGAGATTGAAGTCGTGCTGCAGTGGCTCCAGATAGCTCCATAATGTTGATACTTTCCTTTCTCTCTTTATCTAGATAGAGATATACATAACATTTTTTGTCTGAACCATTTCAGAATAACATGTATATATTATGAGCTTTTACCATTAATATTTCATGATTCATTTCCTGAGAGTAATATATCCTCTGACATAATGACAGTACAGTTAATCAAATTCAGAAATATTAATATTGATATAATACAGTTCATATTCCAAGTTAATTAGTTGTTACAATGTTTCTATCCAGAATTCAATCCAGGTTTCTGGATTGAATTTGGCTGTTTTTAGTCTCCTTTAAAATTGAGAAGTTTCTCAGCATTTCTTTGTCTTTCATGGCATTAGTTTTTTTCTCACTATCAGTTTTATTCTCTCAATTTTACATATGAAAAAAGTTAGGTACAGAATCTTAGAGAAGATGAAGACTAAGCAAGTATAAATGGAAGAATTGAGAATAAAACTTACAAACTCCGCAAGTCTGTGCTATTTAACTTTTTTATATTCAAAAGGGCAGGTTTATTATAAAAAGGGAAGTGAAGGATACTTGTACAGACACAAGTAGGCAGAAAGAACTGCCCCTGAAAGGGACAGGTTTGTAAAAGTCTTCATGCTCACAGGTGGTCAGCCTTGGGAAAAAAGTTGCTGCTACTGTTTTGCAAAGGGAGAAAGTTGGTGAAGAAAAACACAGACATAGGCATAGGCGGGCAGGAGAGCTGCTATGTGCATTCTGTAATATTTTTCAAGAGTACTGGCCAGTTACTTTATAAAGTTGCCTCAAATTGTGTGTGTGTTTCAAATGCCCAAAAATAGATGACTGGATTAAAAAGAGGTGGTACAGGGCTCTCCCTGGTGACACAACAGGTTAAAGCACTGCATTATGAAGCTCTCCGAAGCCACCGCAGCAGGAGTTCCATCCCTGGCCAGGGAGCTGGCCCACATGGTGCAGCAGACCTCCTCTGACCCCCCTGCTGCTACCCTCAGCTGTGTATTTTATCAATCTGCCTGTTCTGCTCCCCACTCTGTCTCTGGTGAATCCTTTCACCCACACCTCTGGCCTGTACCCCAGTTCCATAAGCATAAATAAATCTTTAAAAAAAAAAAAAGAGGTGGTACATATACACAATGGAATGTAACTCAGGAATCAAAAAAGATAAATTCATGCCTTTTGCAGCAACATGGATGGAGCTGGAAGGGATCATGCTTGGTGAACTAAGCAAAAAAGAAAAAGAAAAATACCGGATGGTTTCACTCATAGCAGGAGCGTAAGGGATCAGGGAAGAAAAAAAGAGAAACAAATATAATAATATAATAATGAAAACAGCAAACAGCTATAAACCAGAGACATGTTAGGGGGTGGAAAGGAGATTGGAATAAAAACTGGGGTGGGATGGCACATGGGTGAATTGGTGGTGGGAAGCCCACGGGGATTACAACTGAGATGAAAAAATGCACAAAATGAAGAATGATGTTAAAAAGAAGTAAAATTTTAAAAAATGTGTGTGCTTGATGTTTTCTCATAGATTCAGTTGTGCACTTCTGGCAAGAATTGTATGTAACTGGTGTGTCTTAGGACATCTCATCAAGAAGTATATAATATTACATTGTCTTAATATTGGTAATAATAAGTTTCTAATATAAACTTGTAACAGGAAGGTCCCAGGGAACAGGGTCAGAAAGAACCAGACAAGTCTAGAAGAAAAGAGCAAAATCAAAATCAAGATCAACACTGCCATTGATAACCTCCCCTCTGTTCTCACCCACATCTGTTTAAACCAGTCCAGGAATATACAGCAAGCGCATTTTCTTCAGGTCTCTCTGCTCTGTGTGCCTCCTCCAGATCCCCTTCTGGCTCCTTCTCCATCCTTCTTCCTTCCTCAGTCTATTCTCCAACTTCTTCTCCCAGCTCAGCTCCACCCTCCCTTAGGTGGGGAAGGGAACCTGGGAACCGCCCATTCCCTGGGGACCACCCTGTTACAAACTTACTGTTTTTCCCTTTGTAATTAACATTAATAAATAAAGTGAAGGATACATTGAGACGGTAAAGTTCTGCTCTTTATCAAATTTTCACCCACTAGTTTTTGTATCCATTGATGATGTTTACCTAAATCAAGTATTAGCATGAAAGTTGCAAAATGGTTATTTTCTAATTGCTCCTTTCTTCTATATTTAGTTGTGAGCATATTTGACACAAGCTATGCAAATTCCGGATAGAAAAGAAAAAGCTCTGAAAAATCAGAATTTCCATGCTAGCTCATGTTAAGACCCCCCTTTTTTGTAATATCAAAATATTCTAAGTGGCCCTCCCTTGTGGCGCAGCGGGTTAAAGCACAGCACTGAGAAGCTAAAGCCACTTTCGCATGAGTTCGATTCCCGCCAGCCCCGGAGGTGACCACATGGTGTGGCAGACCTCTCCTGGCCAGCCCGCTGCTCCCCTCAGCAGTGTACTTCGTTGATCTGCCTGTTCTGTTCCCCACTCTGTCTCTGGTGAAGCCTTTCGCCGCCCCTGCACCTCTGGCCTGTACCCCAGTTCTGTATGCATAAATAAATAAATCTTTTAAAAAAATATTCTAACCAACCATCAGCTTGCAACCAGATTGCCTTAGCCACATAAGGCTCTGCCTGGCTCAGGTGAGCAAGTGCTGCCCCAAGACAGAAAATTCCTCTAGAAAGTAAAAATAATATTACAACTGGCTGATTAATAAAAGCAATTATAACAAAATCAATATTGTAAGACAAGGCAGCACTAGAATATGTTAAAAAATAATTAAAGTTCTTTTACTGCCCATAAGAAAACCCAAATCTTATCACTCTACTCTCTTACTTAAGCTTTTATTGCTCAGTCTTTAAATGAGGAATCTTATTATCTCCCTTAGTGATTTATCTACCAGAAAACTCCTCCAGCCTAATCTTCAACTTTACTTTGCCCTCTTTTACAACTTCTCCTTGGCCCACGATTTCACCTTATCCCCCTTCACATCCCCCAGCCTCCACCCTAGTCCTTGACTTTACTTTACCCTCTAAGATGTCTCAATGAGAATGAAGATCATTAAGTAGCATTTAAGCTTTAAAGGGACTTTATTTTAGCCATTCAACACTGTGGTAAATATAACAATGTTAGCCTTAAGTTTTATGAATTTATGTACCTATCCTAACTTTAATAGATTGATTTTAAGAATAATAAATGTTATAATCTCAGCTGAAGGACAATGCGACCCCAAACCATTCTTAGAAAAAAAAAAAAGATGATTATAATCTCTCAACCCAGTTCATGTGCTGATGTCATCCTACTGCTTGCTCCTAAAGTATAAAATAAACTTCTGCTAAGAGCACAACAGGAAGACTTGCACCCAACTCCAACTCCTGTGTCTTCCTCACGCCCACTCCCTTTCTTCCCCCTTTTTTAGAAATCTCCGCTCGCCAACACCACTCACACCTTTGAGAGCCTGCCTGTTCTGCCCCCCAACAACCGGTGATTGGGATGGTCCCCAACACATAGTGTAGCAGGAATTTTATTTTCTCCCATATTTGTTCCTTATTAGTGGTGGGTTCATATATTCAACAAATTATAATCCATTACCATCATGATTTAGTTTAATGATCAAATACCCAGATGTGGTCATTAGAATTACCTTCAAGATAGCTTAAATAAAGTTTTGTTTTGGTTTTTAACATGTCTCCATCATATTTTTGAGCCCATCTTTATTTCTGACAGAAGCTACTTAAGGGTCATCTTATAAATCCCTGCTCCAGCACTGGAATTGGCCATTTCTGTAAGGAGTCCTAATTTATTTCGAGGATGGCATTTAGCAGCCTACATCTGACACTGGGTATATTCATTGATAATGAAGTGTCATTGCTTCTATTTCTGTCATGAAATAAAGCTCACAGTATATGTTATGAATGATACATTTATACAATTACCGCCAATTCCAGGAAAACCCCAAAAAGTTCTTTATTCCCCTATTTTATATTTGTATTTCACTTCTTCCAATGAGAATTCTGGCTCTGAACAATGTTACTATTTTTACATTATACACAATATATTACTAGAAATATTATACTTATATAACA